GGGGCGTGTCGTCGACGTCAAAATCGCCATTTTTGAACTTTGCAAACCATTTCCGTGCTGTAGACTCGCCTATGACACCTTCTCCGTATACGTTGCAAATGTCCCGGGCTGCTTCAGCAGCTTTTGGCCTCGATGAAAAGCGAAGAAGAGCAGGTGTCGAAAATGTTGATTTTTACCTCCTGGATATTCCATTTCTAAGCCTCAAAAGTAATAAAAAATTAAATTACTCAAAAAGACGATTAGCACAGTTTTGTAGAGCAGAAAGAGCTCTATCGAATGAATATTATACACTTTGTCAAACAGCAAAAAAATCGTTGTAAAACAAAAGAATATAAAAACGCTACGAACTTATTCCCCAACCTAATACTTCTTTAGAGTCTCCCAGATTTGTAATGGATTAGTATCACGAGGAGCAAGGGGGCTGTTTAAGTATAATCTTAATTGTCCAGAGACACCATCTACATTGTCTGGCTCTTGCGGGCCGACATTAGCCACCATGACGTCATGCAGGCTCCACAAGTTCTCAGGATCGCTGGCAATGACTGGGATTGATGGCAACTCTGCTGCCAATATTGCCTCTGCCCTTTGCATTTCCATGATCTTGGCCGTGACTTTGGACACTGCTCTGGCACGAGCGAGGGGCTCGTGAAAGTATATTTTCTTAAAGCGAGGGTCTAATAGGGTTGCCAGCGCTAACGTTTCCACATTTTCATCCTGGCCGAAACGAATGTCTATCTGCTTCACGAGCTGCTCCTTTAAAGCGATAGCCACTTTCGCGTCAACAGGCAATTCCATGCCGATTAGGAGCTGAAATAATATATAGCTCGACGTGAGATTAGACGGTAAACAACGGGAATGAAAACTTATTAGATCATATTCCACAGGGGTGAAATTTTCAGTAGGAGCGATAATAAGCATTCAGTTGAAATACTCGATCCCCATAGAATGGCAAATATGTGCTTAACAATACTGACCTGCTTCAGAAGATTCATCATTGGGATTACTTTACTAACAGAAGTAGTTTTTTCTGAGCTCAATTCTTTTGTAAGGTGATCCAGAGGTTTAAGAATACGGCTCAATTCTTTGAGCTCCGATAGCTCCCCACTGAGCATGGTCACGTTTCGGTACTTCAAAAGTAATGCTCCCACGATATCACTCAAATCAATGAACCGATCAATCATGGCGAATGTTGAATTCCAGCGAGTGGATACTGATTGTATCAACTTAAGCACAGTGCTCTCTGTGCGGCCGTTCTGCAACTGGATCGCTTTAAGCTGATCAGAGGCGTTAACGCTGTGCTTAAAGAAGGTTACTATTGACTTCACCTTATTGATCAAGTCACTGAGGCCAGGAGTTGTCTCAATGGCTTTTTCAGCCACTAAATTCAACATATGTGCGAAACAACCTAAGTGTTTGGAGGAGCCGAATACAGCTTTCGCTGCCGCGACAATGTTGGCTGCGTTGTCAGTGACAATATGCTTTACCTGTGTAGAAGTTAAAGATAGTTTATTGGATATGAAATTTGGTTGTACCTTCGGCTTGCGAGAGGGCGAAAGAATTAACAGCAACATTAATGTAAAATCGAAATTTAGAACAAGAGTGTTGTACCTTGACTTTGCTTATGTTCCATTCAGCGCACGTTTCTTCCAACATTCTTGAAATGTATTGGCTATCATGAGACGCATTTAGAGGTGTGACGCCAATTGTTGCTGCCATCATTTCATATCCCGACAGAAAGTGTACCGTGACGCCAAGATAGCTCGTGGTGGTGTGCGTGTCAGTCCATATGTCGGCAGTCAGATTAAACTCTTTAATTTTGGAAAATATATCCTGCATACGAGCACTAAGAACATTGTATTTAGCATCAAGCAGTCTTGTAAAATTCCTTCTGCTTGGCACTTTGTAAAGTGGCACTGCTTTCTTTGAAAAGTACTTGAATCCAAGCCCTTCGACGAAGTCAAGAGGTAAGTAGTCTTTTACAACCATAAACATCAGAGCTTCATTTAGTGTTCCAGTCATATGCCCACTTTCTGCAAAGATAAAGATTAAATGTTGTCGCAGCACATTTTAAGACAAGTTTATTAAAGAATTCTTCACGCAACAACATTACTTCACCTGAAAATGAACTGCCCTCTCGAAGCTCTCTGACAATGTCAAGTTGCGGGTTCTAGATTTAGGCGTGACTATCCTTGTAGGAGGAGGGCTAGACTCATTTGCAAGGGCAGTGCTAGTACTTGCAATGCTAGCACTACTGGTATTAGATAACACTGAAGAAGATAGGCTATAAGCTGTTATGATCTGCGCGATGAGAACGAAAACTACGTTTAAAATAAACCGAAATACATTCAAGGAGCCATTAATAACGCCACTATTATCTAATAAAAAGGCATCTGCCTGTTCTTGTAGACTAGGATCGTCTGGATCATCACCATCTCTAGTACTGGACGCCGATGATATAGTTACGCTGTGGCCGCTGTGCTTATGCCGCTTTCGACTTTCTCGCTGGAGGTTATGTTTCCTTTCTTGGTGATTCCACAGGTTTATTGTTGTTAGAAAAGAGAGAGGGAGAGAGAGAAGGAGAGAGAGACA